CACCCTAACCTACGGAAAATACAGGTCATGTCTGTGAAATGTTGGCAGAAGATATTGTTTATAACAATTAAACTTGTACAGCATTTTGTTCTTAAAAGGATTGAGTATTCCTGGTTTAGGGATGTTTACAGTTTGAAGCAGCTATTAAATAATAATCAGTAGCATGTTCATCTTGCAAAGAATTTCTACTTAAAATCAGACAAGATTAATCAGACAAGGCTTCTCCGTTCACATGAAATTTCAGATGAGGAGAAGCTGACACGGACCAGAAACAGGCAGGGTTATTCTAATGTTTCAGCATTTTACGTGGTTTAGTTTTTATCCCTCATTTCCTTCTAAGAACATTCAGTTTTTATATACTGACATCAATGCTTAATTTGTTTGAAAACAGCCCCTCCGTACATATTCTTTTTGCATTCTTATTTCCTTAACAGTTAAGCTGTGGAGGACGGTGCAGCCGGCATCCCAGGGAGGGGATGGCCGAGCACGGGGCCGGCGCGGTCGGGAAGGAGAGCAGGAGCGCTCCAGGGCACACACCGTTTCCGCACCCGTGTAACTAGGGAGTTACGGTGACACCCCGAGCACGAAGCACAAAGTCACCGTCCCCCCAGGCCGGCAGGACGCGAAGGCAGACGAACGCCCTGGGATGGCCTGGGAGGGCAGCGCTCTCCTCGCGCCGCGGCCCCGGGGAGCCCCGCGGCTCCCTGCCGAACCGCCGCAGCCTGCAGCTCCTCTCCCCAATGCTGCGGACTGTCCTGGCCCGGCACGGCCCCGTCCTTCCTCCTCCCTTCACCATCCTGCCTGTTGTTTTCGAGAAAACTCCCTTACACGAAAGGTTTCCCAAGGCCCTATCGGGATGGCTGGGCTCTGGCTTAGACCAGCCTCCTCTGGGAGCTCAATCACAAGTGTTCGATTTCCAGCCCGCATGCAAAATGTGCATTTGCAGTAAATGCTTCTGAGCATGCAGCTGGCTAAATAAACTGAAGATAACGTCTTCTACTTAGTCATTTCTCATTACCATAAGAAAGCATCAATTGCATTTGCTGTTTTCTGAGTGTGCACAAGGAAACCCAGCACCCCAGCAGAGCGGTTACACATGGGCTCCTGTTGCTTCCTCCCTAAGCTGAAGGAGAGGCAGTTCCAGAGCCCAAGAACCAGCTTTGAGGACAGGCAGAAGCCGCCCGTCCGCGCAGCAGCTCCCGCGGCGGCCTCCTCACGGAGCCTCCTCGCAGGGCCTTACCCATCGCAGCCTCCTCGCGGCCGCCTCCGCCGCCCGGCACGCAGGGACGTGCGCGGAGGGGCTCGGCGCCGGGGAGGATCCTGCCACCTGCACTTCCCATCGATCCACTCAAACGTTGTTATTCATAGTGATCAATAGCTTCAATACCAAAGACACACCTTCAAGGCAGAAGTGGGGTGACCACTAAGAAAGGACAACTGCAAAGAACGCCAAGTAATTTGCAGATTTTGCAATAATTTAACCTAACCTAATACCTAACAGAAGCTAAATATAATTAAAAATTTTCCTCCATCTATTTCACGCTACTTATTACGAAGTAAAATCATAAACCACTTCTATCACAACCTATTGACCTGTATCTTCATACAACAAATTATCTTTGACAAGAAGTTAATTTGCAGTCAAAAGCCATACCCAGCTTTAGTCTTTTCAAAAAAGAGATTTTGAAATAAACCTATTTTTATAGAAGAAGTTCACCCAGTATATACTTGTGCATTAACATCAGTACATATATTAAAACAGAGCTTAAGAAAAACTCAGCTCTGTGCTCCCATTTGTCACAACAAACCCTGTCATTACTAGGCTCATGCCTCGGAAGATGGGTTGGCAATGGCATTTCTAAACAGAAGTCAAAATCCGAGGAACTCGGAAGGTCCCTGACTCACAGAGGTAACCTGGGCATAGGGATCTGCAGGAACTTGGGGCTCAGGAGCTCATTGGAAAACCTTCTCGTAAGCTGCAGGTTACAGTGGAATAAAGTGATTGGAGAAAACTGGTCTCTGGGGTGTCCAGACTACGCAACAGCAGTTCAATTCCTTCCTCATCCAAACACCCGACCAAGGTCAGCATCCTCCCCTGAACACGGGACTGATGTGAAAAACATCATGTAAGTCAGTCATGAAAACAGCTCAGAAAGCAATTTCTCACACGAGAATTGGAAAACAACATAGGCCGTATACATAATAAATTCATTTGTCCTGTGAAGACTGGTCTGTAGTACACAAACGTATAGGAAAGTTCACAGGAATTCCACTTTTATTAAACCATTATAAAGACTTTAAGTAAACATGTTAAGTCTATTTTTGGTTAGTTTCTTTCTTTCTTTCTTTCTTTTCAAATTAGAGCAATTAACTTAAAAGGAAGTGATGCTGACTGAGAAGAAATGCTTTTCTTAAATTATATCCTCTTTTATTCAGAACTTTGACATCTTAATCCACTGCTTGATAATGACTCTACAAGAGCACAGAACCGTACTGTGTTAATAGTCTGATCTTGAATTCCATTTACGTGAGCATCTCCCAATGAAAGGAAGAGGCATATTGAGCGCAAACATGAAAAACGGGCATGTTAGGTGCAGAGGGGGGCCAGAGCCCGTCCCGCGGCACCTCGGGCGGCAGGGCCCCGCGGCGGCGCGGTGGCCCCGCTGTCCTGCGCCCGCGGCGGCGCCCGCACCGCGCTCTGCTCGGGCTGCAGGCGGCCTGTTCCAGACCCAGAGGGCACTGCAGGCAAGTGCATCCCTCTGCGGAACAGCCGCGCTCTGCAGCACGGACCGCTCCGGGGATGACAGGGAACACCAAAAAACGGGCTCCTAACCGAGGAGTCCTCGTTTCGGATAGGGAAAGCAAAATAATAGTCGGAATAACAAAGTTTAATTTATGCTGTACCACATTATGTACATAAATACCAAACCTTGCACATCATTTCACTCATATGACAGTATCATCTGATTTCAGTAATGCACTATGAGTGCTTGCTGCTTGAGAAATAAAATATATTTGGTTTATAAAATTCAGGAATATGGGGAAAAAACCCCCAAAGCCTTCCCTACAGTAATCACTTTTCTAGCACTGATGCCCTGTGCAAAAAACCTACAGCTGCAGGTCCTAATTCTGGACACATCTATACACAAGCTTAAACCAAAATTTGAAAGCAACACTGTTTAGATGTTCGAAGGTAAATACACATATAAGTAATGAAAAAAACAGATTTTAATTATATTGTGATTTATATCCACAACAAAGATGATGATCATATTTCAAAGAAGAGAGATGCCACGTGGATATTTTATGAAAAGTAGATGTAGATGATTTATTATATAAGCTAAAAAAATCAGGAAAATACATATATGCTTATATATCTAGTGGAAAACTTATTAGAGGGGGTTCTGAGCAGGTGTGTGGAGAAAGCAGAAATTAATGCATTAGCTGAAGGAGTGACAGTTCCATTCCTTTTCTAAACTGCTGAATAAAAGTAACAAAATTAAAGCAAAAACAAATTTCAGAAGGACACAGAACAACATCTGTTACACGGAGAAGGAAAGTAGTTTAAAGACTGAGTAAGCGAATCCTCCAGCCATCTCCCTTCAGGGAAGAGAAATCTGACCCCAGGAAATAAATAAAAGTCACCCAAAAAGTGAACAAAAGAGGTGTTTGAAAAAAACAGAACACCATTCATCGCAGCTAACGACTTGTTCATTATGAGTGATGATGGATAAAGACTTCTCACGCTGCGATGAAATCAAGATTTATATGCATTGTTTCCTCTCCCAACTTGTGGGAAGATCATCATCATTTAATTCTATCTCCGCGGCCAGCGATGGGCATCGAGAGAGCGGGTTATCACACGGCGCCGTCAGCTGGCGGCGGGGCCGCGCGCAGCTGGCACATCTGCCCGCGCGGGGACGCGGGGACGCGGCGCCTGGCCGGCGGCCAACGCGCTCTGCCTGCGGCCGCCCCGCCACCCGCTCCAGC